GCTTTTTCAACACAGGAGGAATTTGTTTCGACATGGTCCAGTGTTACTGGTAGGATAGCTACATTGTTGTGACCTTTAGCAGTAAAATTAGAAAACAGGTTTCATACATCGAGACATCGGTAGTTAATCGGTAGTGAATACTGTGTATTTGGGAAAAAACTGACACACAAACAGTTTACAATGAATCGAGGTGGGCGTGTCCAGTACATACACAGGTCCCTGGGGTACCGAGGTGGGCGTGTCCAGTACATACACTGGTCCCTGGGGTACCGAGGTGGGCGTGTCAGGTACATACATGGGTCCCTGGGGTACCGAGGTGGGAGTGTCGGGTACATACACTAGTCCCTGGGGTACCGAGGTGGGTGTGTCCAGTACATACATGGGTCCCTGGGGTACCAAGGTGGGCGTGTCCAGTACATACATGGGTCCCTGGGGTACCAAGGTGGGTGTGTCCAGTACATACATGGGTCCCTGGGGTACCGAGGTGGGCGTGTCCAGTACATACACTGTATCCCTGGGGTACCGAGGTGGGAGTGTCGGGTACATACACTGTATCCCTGGGGTACCGAGGTGGGAGTGTCGGGTACATACACTGTATCCCTGGGGTACCGAGGTGGGCGTGTCCAGTACATACACTGTATCCCTGGGGTACCAAGGTGGGCGTGTCCAGTACATACACTGGTCCCTGGGGTACAGAGGTGGGAGAGTCGGGTACATACATGGGTCTCTGGGGTACTGAGGTTGGAGTGTTGGGTACATACACTGGTCCCTGGAGTACCGAGGTGGGTGTGTCGGGTACATACATGGGTCCCTGGGGTACGGAGGTCACTGGTGGGAGTGTCGGGTACATACATGGGTCCCTGGGGTACGGAGGTCACTGGTGGGAGTGTCGGGTACATACATGGGTCCCTGGGGTACAGAGGTGGGCGTGTATGTACTGGACACGCCCACCTCGGTACCCTGTGGGTGTGTGAGGTACATACACTGGTGGGTTCAATCTGATACCATACTGTCTCAGTTCTACATATTATGTCCCGGGGGGTACCGAGGTCGGTGTGTCCAACAAATGGTCAAATCTTTATTTCGCACCATCAGCAGTTCAAAGTCAAATAATTGAAGCAATACAAGTCAATACTGAAGTGGAGGTAAAGTAAAATACCAAAATAAAATCTATCGAAAAAAACATCAAAATCGGGGCACATCTTTGGTGAGCAGCAGCACGACCCCATGATGAACACTTAAAAAAGTAAGGCCTCGTATTATGGAAGGGTGATAAGACCGTGAAAGGCGAAACATCATTATCTGAATGTGATTAATATACAGTAAACTACGTTCATAACGAACACGCTTATAACAAACTTAATCTTTAGTCCCCGCCATTTGTTGTACATATGCTGTATATATGCTCATAACGTTATCATGAACTAAAATTAGTGGTCCATTTGAGTTTGTTATAACCATAGTTTACTGTACTACTCAAAAGAAGTTAAAGGACACCCGATTTTTTCCACGACAGATAAACTTTCCCTTTACAATCCAAACAGAGAGCCATGGGGTGTAGGGGGCACTTGCTGGAGCAGAGTGAGTGAGTGAGTATAGTTTAACGCCACTTTTAGCAATATTCTAGCAGTATCACGGCAGGGGACACCAGAAATGGGCTTCACACATTGTACCCATGTCAGGAATCGAACCCGGGTCTTCGGCGTGACGAGCGAACGCTTTAACCACTAGGCTACCCTACCGCCCCTGCTGGAACAGAGGGCTTATTACCGTACAGTACATTAAATATGGCACTTAACCATTAATAACCATTGTTCAGAATCCATTCAAGATAAGAATACTTCGATACACACGTGCAATGATTTGTCATGGAAAATGTTGCCCTTTGAAATGAAAATGAATTTTTGAATGAAATTTTCAAATATTGCAAATGATGAAATTCTGGGTTATAATTGTGATGTGTGAAAAAAACAAAACAGAAATATATCCACAAATAAATGTTCAGAATGAAGCTAGAAACACTCTGCATGAGCAGGCGACTTTTCAACAATACACTTACAATATTCGACGTAATAAGCGCCCTGCTCTAATAAGCGCCCACGGCGACATTAGCTAATATATTGGCTGGTGAACTATCCCAATTAGCATCCCTTCCGATTGATCAATGTACACAAGACTTATTTATTCGTGTATAATACGCACTCGTGTGATTATATGCACCCTTAATTATGGGCAATTAAATTCTGGAAAAATATATCTGTCGTACATAAACACTTCAGACTGTCAGCATAAACCATGAAATTTATCTTTCAACTCTTTCAATTTTTCCACCAAAATAATATTCTAATAAGAGCCCCCTATTTCTAATTTTGAGAGCGCCCTGGGCGCTTATTACGTCGAATACGGTAGTCCACTTTCAGATGCAAATGACATTCTGGGTGACACTTTGAAGAAAAATACTAAAAGTTAGCTGACTGTTAAGGTCGATCCTGTTAGTCGCCTTTTACGGCAAGCATGGGTTGCTGAAGACCTATTCTACCCGGGATCTTCACGGGTCTCATATGTATTCACAGGTGATGGAGGAACATAGTGTACATGTGACTTCTTGACGATGATGGAAATGTCAGTATCATATACACCGGACTACCAGGAGTGCTTAATTTCACAAAGGATCACTGCATCATGAAAGCATCCGTATCTACAGTAGGTTTACAAATTCGTCACTTAAAACACTGTATCAAGGGAAGTCTATTTTTAAAAACAATCACCTATCCTGGTGTTCTCCTAAAATAAAATAAAATATTTGACATTAAAGGTTTGGGTATTTTTTAGAAAAAAATGTTTTGGTTTTTCTTTATTTATTGAAATTAGAATGCCTAACCATTGCCGTTATCCAGGGAATTATATTTGGGCTGGGACAGGTAACTCAGATACTCGGGTAGGGTGGGTACGGAGAAGGACCCAGAAACCGTGGTTAGTCACGTGATATATTATTTAATGACAAAAATTCCCTTATTCCAGGGTTACACAACAAATCACTAATATTTGCGTTTCTTTCTGACTATGCACATATTCCTTGCACATGTTTGAATAAAGATACAACTTCCATCACCTTCAGTCAGTTACTTGACTCTTCTTTCAATTATGATGATGCGGGCGGTGCTTAAGAACCAAGACCATTTTCTTTAGCCTTACAGATCAAAATAACCTCTGTACTTTGAGGGCTCAGACCGGTACACAAGATCTCGACCATGGGGCAGGTGTCAATGGACTCAAGCCCTCCATCATGGACTGCACAAGGGAGATAACTCACATCTTCACTTCTCCACATCATGTGCAGTCATGGAAAAGAATCGCAAAATCATTTCAACAGAGATGATGCTTATGAAACAGAAAAAATGTTGACTGTGTGCGTTATTCTTTTGAAATCGGGAACTCCAGTCAGGGTTGAGTTTTGAGATGCAGCTACCCGGTACCCGTCACAGCACAATTACTTCATGCAACTGGATCTGTCCGGTACAACACTGACACTGCAAATATTGACTGACCAACACAAACATATCAAGACAGTCAGTATAAACCACATAAATGACAATGAAATTATGACAAAATATGAAAACAATATGCTTCAACTATGATAACAATAAATCAATGACACGTCAATCTGAGACTTACCGATGTCAAGCTAAGACACGATGGCATCAATCTCAGACACAATGATATCAATCAAAGACACAATGATATCAATCTCAGACACAATGATATCAATCAAAGACACAATGATATCAATCTCAGACAATGATATCAATCAAAGACACAATGATATCAATTTCAGACACAATGATATCAATCAAAAACACAATGATATCAAATTAAGACACAATGAAATCGATCTAAGACACAATGAAATCGATCTAAGACAATGATATCGATCAAAGACACAATGATATCAAATTAAGACACAATGAAATCGATCTAAGACACAATGATATCCTTCTAAGACACAATGAAGTTGATCTAAGACACAATGAAATTGATCTAAGACACAACGATATCCATCTAAGACACAATGGTATTCAGTCTGAATGATGTAGCAGTATTATGCGACAAATAAGCACCTTTACGCACACATTAATCATTTCTTCACAGTGAAACTTCTAACCAACATTTTTCAAGTAGGTTAACAAAATATTTGGATTTCACAAAACAAGACATCTACTAAAATGTTTACCAAATAACTAACAATAAAAAGACTTTCATTCTAATTAATGCTGTTATTCCTCTATTCCTTAGTTCAATAACATTCAGTAGTATCTTCCACAGAACTGGTTTGGAAATGTATCCTCTAATGACAGCTTTCCTGTAACCATCGTAACGCACGGGCAAATATACACACATCTAAATAATAAAAAAAAGTTGGAAAATTCACATCATCACATTCAACAATAGACCTCCACAAAAAATATCTCTCAGTTACCTCCCCTTTAGCTCTGGAGGTTCTACTCTGAGCATATTTGACTGTGGTTGTGCAGAAAACAGTCTCAGTAGCAGGTATCTAAGAGAAGATAACTCCAGTCTCCTCTTCTCACTGGCCAATAGAGTACTGTTATCATAACTCAGGCATTCTGCCCAAAGTTCCAAAGGGGAGTCACTCAAGAAATACAACAGCACACCAAATCAAATCGTTGGGAACACTTCACCTGAATCAAATTATCACAATCTAAGCACAATGAATTTTAATGATATATAACAAACAATGCACTTGAGTACATCATGTGCACATTAGATCACCCTCAAACTTAGGTCATCAAACTTTTGATACTCAATATCAATGTGATTACAGTGTTCGAAATCAAGTCCAGGGAGCCTTGTCATACAAAACACTAACATTCAAACGTAAAAGATTTTGGGGGTGTCCTGAATTCAAATAAATCAGGGATGGAAATTAACAAAGAACATCTCCTATCCCGAAGTGATCACATTCAGCAATTGCCCCCAAAATGTCTGAAATTCTTAGGATTCGTAGTCCTGATAATGGCTTCGACATTTACCATGCCTCCAACACGGGTACCGCTAACTTCCATCTCCGCAACACACATGTACCAATGAAGAAGACCTCCAACACGGGTACCGCTAACTTCCATCTCCGCAACACACATGTACCAAGGAAGAAGAGCTCCAACACAGGTACCGCTAACTTCCATCTCCGCAACACACATGTACTAAGGAAGAAGATCTCCAACACGGGTACCGCTAACTTCCATCTCCGCAACACACATGTACCAAGGAAGAAGATCTCCAACACGGGTACCGCTAACTTCCATCTCTCCGCAAGACAAATGTACCAAGGAAGAAGACCTCCAACACGGGTACCGCTAACTTCCATCTCCGCAACACACATGTACCAAGGAAGAAGAGCTCCAACACGGGTACCGCTAACTTCCATCTCTCCGCAAGACACATGTACCAAGGAAGAAGACCTCCAACACGGGTACCGCTAACTTCCATCTCCGCAAGACACATGTACCAAGGAAGAAGAGCTCCAACACGGGTACCGCTAACTTCCATCTCCGCAAGACACATGTACCAAGGAAGAAGAGCTCCAACACGGGTACCGCTAACTTCCATCTCCGCAACACACATGTACCAAGGAAGAAGACCTCCAACACGGGTACCGCTAACTTCCATCTCCGCAACACACATGTACCAAGGAAGAAGAGCTCCAACACGTGTACCGCTAACTTCCATCTCCACAACACACATGTACCAAGGAAGAAGAGCTCCAACACGGGTACCGCTAACTTCCATCTCCGCAACACACATGTACCAAGGAAGAAGACCTCAAGGGCCGACGGTCCCCTTAATTCCCAACACTGAATAATGATGTGAGTTGTATCTACCTTAAGACCAATGATTGCTATACCTTGAAAGTCTATTGCACGATTAAGTACATGTAAAAACAGTACAAATAAAGCACTTTCTGTTACCACTGGTTACCACATTCTATTGTGACTCATACATGACAATAAAGAGTAAAGTGTTCCAGTGTATCCAAGCACCATTGACCATTTCTCGGGCTACATCTCGTTAAAAGTTACAGATTTTCAACACGCTGGAGTATTGGAGTATTTAGCATCAACTGGTCCAGTTCGTCTGAATGTACGCTCATATGACAATAGTCATGAGACATTCCTGTGACGTCTGGTATTATGTGATCAGCCACTGAGAAATAGACTCCAGAGTAGTGCACTAGGCATCATATCCAAACTAAGGCATCACAGTTAAAGAACGGATACAGATGCTTAAAGAGCATCTTGTGCAGACCCAGTAAGTTGGACTAAGTCTTTAAGGCCATGTGTAAGTCTAAACTGCTGGGTAAAAGAAAGTACCAGTATACAGCCATGTTTGATAGTGGCTAAATATGAGTGAGCGAGTGAGTGAGTGAGTGAGAAAGTGAGTGAGTGAGTGAGTGAGTGAGTGAGTGAGTGAGTGAGTGAGTGAGTGAGTGAGTGAGTTGGGTTTAACGCCGCTTTTAACAGTATTCCAGTTATATCACGACGTGTCAGCTTAATGTGGGAGGAAAGCCCAAAGTGATGCAGGTCTCAGACGTTTACCACTTCAGTGAAACCCACGAGCACGGGTATGGTCCTGACAAACCTAGACACATAATCAGGGAGAACCGGGATTCGAACCAACAATCATAGGTTTCTGGCGTGCCCAAGGGACGCAACTCTGCACAGCGAATCGTGGTGCCTTAGACGACTGGGCCACCCATGCCCCCCTTGACATCATTGACGAGTGAGTACGGTTTTACGATGCCGTCACCCATATTGCTGGTAGAGAAAAGGTCATCATCAACCCTTGCTTGCCGTAAAAGGCGACTATGCTTGTCATAAGAGGCGACCAACGGGATTGGGTGGTCAGGCTCGCTGACTTGGTGGGCGCATGTCATCGTGTCCCAATTGCGTAGATCGATGCTCATGATGTCAATCACCGGATTGTCTGGTCTAGGCTTGATTATTTAGACAGCCGTCATATAGCTGGCATATTGGTGACTGCGGCGTTAAACAACTACAGAGCTCCAGATAAGCTGCGTATCTGCAGAAAATACGCATCAGAAATGCAGAAATACGCAGTAAAATAAAATCCAAGCGTATCAAATAGGCAATGATCATTTCAGATATGCTACAAAAATAAAACTTGTGCGTATCATCAAAATATTGTGAAGTAACCCTGCATATTCGTTTAGCAAATCAGCAACTTATTTTGAAATTATAAACGGGCATTCCGTCAACCTTGCCAAACTCCATGATGACAGTTACACCACGATCATTTGCCATCACACTTTCTTGTGGAAGTATCATGGTATTTTTGAGTCCTATAAAGCTCTCGAACCCACACGACACCTGTTTGCAGGGACTAAATGAATAGTGTTTTTAAATATTTAACTTAAATACCCACATGTGTAAAAACTAGTGGGTAACAGAAATTTGAATACCCAGATAGAATTACTGATACCCAATGATCTTAAAATGCATGGGTAAAATACCCACAACACCAAAAGCTTATCTGGAGCTCTGCAACTAACAAGCAAGCAAACACCGACAACATATAGCAGTACCACCCAAAATGTTAGAAATTCTACCATGTCTACAAGATTATGTAGATACCTTAAACATTAGCTAAACGGGAACGGGCTAGTGCTAATTTCCGTTAGGGCTGCAACGACACAGGAAGGTCATGATACGATACGCATCTCGATATTCTGATCACGATACGATACGCATCTCGATATTCTGATCACGATACGATACGTACCTCGATACGCAGTGATATAAAAACAAGACTTAAAGCATGTCAAGATTGAACCTTTCATGATTTTGGAACAGTCAGCATTATTTTATAATAACAAGACTACTGAAGATGTTAAGCTTCAAAGTGGAACTTTCTCTAACTTTCCTTCAAAACAATTCAAAGTTCAAACACCAGAAAATAATTATTGTATTTCACCAGTGATACAACTTTAAAGAATTTGTATGCAATGGTCCAAGAAATTGTAACTGAAATTATTGTTTTATCAGGAATAATATATTCCAATATCTTGTTATTTTAGTTGCAGCTTTTACAAAATATATTTAATATAATTATAACCCTAAGCTAGGCAGCTGATTGCTATTGCCAGTTATTATTTTTCACATGGAACCAGTTTGACAAGTCACCATCAAGGTTCCCGCGCACGTGATCGCGAGAACTACGTGTTGACATAGAATCGTCAAACTATAACAAATATGAATTTTAACGAGTCAAAGTATGGCATTTATGATATATGTATCCATTCTCTGTCAACTAAAGTTCGTTTCAAGGAGTCAATAGTGGTAATCCGACCATGGTTGCTGTTAATAACGGTGAGCAGTGCCATCTTCCTAATTGAAACAATATTAAAAGGTATTTTTTAATAAAATTAATGAAATAAGTTACAAACATAAGTCCAGATATACAAAGAACACTTTTTATAGCCAGACTGTGTAATTTCATGATTAATTTGCGTACTTCAGTATGGATTTGTTGACATGGTATACCCAACACAATGAGCACAACTTATTGACAGCCAAAGAAAGAAAAATAAACCATAATTACTATGCACATGTAAATGTTAATGCCCTGATATCATAGAAATAAAATACAAAATGAATTTCATGTAAATTTTTAAGTAACGTAGATCTATGTGATTTTTCGTGAGAGGGAGACGTGGTTATGTGACATTGGCAGGCCTTTACAGCAGCAATGGAATAAAGACAAAGAACTTGGTCAATGAGTGGATCATATTGAATAAACATAATAAAGACAGGTGTTTTTGTTGGAAATACTTTGGTTTGTTTACACTGTTCGGGCATGGTCAGTGTGTGAAGGTACGCACTTATAATACATACAAGAATACAGGAAGCACGCTGCCTGCCTCCTCGTCACACAAACACTTGGCATGTGCAGCAGAGGGCGGCAAAGACAGGTGACAATGTCTTGGAAGGCTGTAAATGGCCAAGGCATGTGTGATAGTTTCAAGCGTGCCTCATCCCTATTTGACACAATGGCAGCTCCATGCGAGAAATATAAACTGTCAAGTGAAATATATACATGAACTTACGACTGTCCCTGACCAGCGATGGAGATGCCACGAGACAGAATGTTGGAGTAGTGATGCCAGCCACAAGTAACATGCCACCATGGCCAGCTGATTGAGATAAACAAGGACCCTTGTGATCTCTCCTGTGATTGGTGCTTGCTGCTTCCGGTTAAGGAAAGGTGGGTGATTGGCTAGACTTGCTCCAAGTCTCTACTGAATGAGAAAGGCGGGGATTGACACCAAGCACAAGTTACATTTGTTGTTAGGGACATGGCGCGATTTTCCATAAATGACTTTAGATCAAGTAAAAGAGATAGCTAACCCATGCCCTTCTACATAACTAACCCTAATGATCGTAAAGGGGTGCTTGATCGTAAAGGGGTACCTAACCCTAATGATCGTAAAGGGGTACCTAACCCTAATGATCGTAATGTGGTGCTTGATCGTAAAGGGGTACCTAACCCTAATGATCGAAAAGGGGTGCTTGATCGGAAAGGGCTAAATAGAAAGTTGTGGTTAGCCTATGTTTGGATTGGAACACAGACCTGTGAAGTGAGAGCCACAATCGACAGCCTGAGTCAATTAGTGCCAAATCAGCTGGTCCCAGTAAAGTGCATTGACGAGTTACTCCTTCACCATTGCTGTAATATACACAAAAAAGGAACTGTCGCGTAAATCTATTTTGGGATTATCTAGACTTGCTTGGAGGCACTTCAGCCTCAAGTCTGCAGCAAATGATTGTACAAATTCCCAATTTGAATCTAAAATTTCCCAATTCCTCAGAAAGTACGAAAATCTTACATTACAAAATTCAAATTTTGAACTATATCCTAATGTTAACCCAATTTGCCTGTCAATTCTAGATACATCCTTGCTATTATAGGAGCGGTGAGCTTGATACCACAAATACAGCACACCACATGACAAATATTATCGAGAACAATGAGACCAAGGTATCACCTACCTTTCACAATCTTCCATTAAGCAGAAAATATCAGGAGCTGTGGTAAGTTGTGTCAGGAGATTATGTTGGTGGTCACGGAGGCATTTGGAGAGGGTCTGCAACAATGTCCAACACAATGAGCACAAGTGATTCACAGACCACTCTCAATGCTCTGATACTTTGGAAACCAACAAAACCATGAATTTCTTTGAAATTTAGATATGAAGGTTTTAATAAAGATGTCACTTTTCCTGGTTCATGATACTGGGATAATTACAGAACTGTTACCATGGTTTCAATCAAGTGGTAACACAAGGAGACTAATGTCAACAATATTATTGACTTTTACCTTAGGTAATGGTGCATATTGAAGAAAAGCAGATGTTAAAGGTAATAGTCAATGATACAATGAACTTGGCAGGATTGGGTGGGGGAGAGGGAGAGGGGGGGGGGGGGGGGGGGGGGGGGGGGGAGGAGGGGGAGAGGGAGCCAGGAGGGGGACATCGGTTCGGCAGGCCTGTACCACAGCAATTGAATAAAGACAAAGAACCTGATCAATCAAAGGAGCATAATGAATGCATACTCATCATAAAGGGATGTGGGTTTTTTTTAAGGAAATACGGTAGTTGAATACTTAGGTTTGTTTACACTGAGGGACGTGATGAAGTTGATTAATGATAATAAATTGCACTTCTTCTGTCGGATGAAATACGGTAGCTGTATACTCTGTTATAGGGCTTGGTCAGTGTGTGAAGGTACGCATTTATCATCCATACACGAATACAGAATGCACCCTGCCTGCTTCTTTGCCAC